TCCAATGACTTTGCATAGAGCCAACAGCTTTAGAGAGCAGACGAACTGGATCACCTATCTCTCTGTTGAGTAATAATCACAGTAATCTCTGCTGTAATAAACACAATGGTTAAGTTAGGCTGGATTTGAGAAGGGCTCTGCTGAACAGACCTCTGAGAGACAAAGGGGGCTTTTTTTGCAAAGACGTTTTGATGTATAACTCTCAGTGAAATCAAAGAGAAGGTCTGCGCCCCAGGGACTTTGCCCTGAATTGCCCACTGGGTCTGTTGCACAATAAGGAAGTTATGGTAGGTGCAGCTCTACAAAGATAAAATCCTTGTATTTTTCTGTTTTCCTAAGTGGACATTCCTAAATAACTGCAGCCTTCCTGTATGACGTACATGTAAAGTTTCTCTCCTCTAAAATGCAATGAGTCTAACATTTTTCAGATGAAGGGCTCTACATTGATCTGAAGAAGATATTTGTATTTAGTAATAATTGTGATTTGACTAGGAATAAAAATGTAGGTTCCCATTGTCTCTGTGAGGTCGTGCGCAAACAGAAATACGGGAGAAATTGCCAAAGCAACTGATTAACTATCATTACTTAGCTAATATTTGTTTCATATCTCGGAACTGGCTTTTAAGCATAAAAGAAAAGCAGGTGAGAAAATATTGTGCTTTGTGGGTGATTTGCAGTACCAGCTTCTGGAAGGAACAGAGACTCACTGTTATGCTCAGAAAACAGGTTTTTCTCCTGATTAGAGATCCTGGCTCCAAACTCACGGGCTGTGTCTATGCTGACTGCACAAAGCTGCTTTCAAGACTGTACTCTCTTGCTACGCACGGCAGCCTGCCCGCGGGGCCACGAATGCTGCAGGGCTGCCCCTCTCTGTAGCCAGCAGGACTCCAGGTGCCCCAGCAAGGCCAGTGGGCTTCTCCAAGCCATAACCAGCTGGCCTTCAGGCAGTTTGCTAGCCACCAAGGCATTGCTGCTTGGATGTGGCATGGAGCATGCTGCTCCTCTGGGGCCTGTGTACATAGAATCATAGAATGGTTTGGGTTGGAAGGGACCTCCAAGATCATCGAGTTCCAACCCCCCTGCCATGGGCAGGGACACCTCCCACTAGAGCAGGTTGCTCAAGATGTATCTGTACTCTCAGGTTGGTTTCCCTATTTTTCTCTGCCTTAGGCTTTCCCTTGAGGCTGCATCTATCCTCCTACATGCATCCACCCCTGGGAATGGTGCCTGGTCCACAGGAAAAAAGTGGCCTGTTTGCACCCTGCTCAGAGCTGGTTCCTTTACAGCAGCCTGGTGGTTTCCCTTGTATCCACATGATGAAGCACTTCTCCTTTTGGGTCTCTTCTGGGCCCCTTGGCTCTAAGATGTGATCATCACTTTTCTGTGTGGGTCTCTTTTTTTTTTTTCTTTTTGTCTTTAGCATCAGAAATTACCTGAGTCGTGGGTTGCAGCCCACTAGGTATTTCCATAACAAAGGATGTGCCAGGATGGCTTATGGCAGGTGTTTGTCAGTATGAGACCTGGTGAGATATTGGTGGAGGGCTGGTTAGGACCAGGCAGGGTTGCTAAGGAACAAACTCTCATCGATGACACCTTTTGGGAGTGATCTGTTTCTAGGACTTCCCTTGGTTTTGTATGGAAAGGGTCAGTTAAATCACTCTAAGAAAGAGACTGGGAAGGAAATGGCAATTATGCAATATTGGGATATCTCAATCTGAGAGTAAACTGGGAGTTAACTTGGTGGGCAGTGAAGGCTTACCAGTTATCTGCAATATGTGCTGATTTGCACTTTAACTCTGGTCTGGAGTGGCCAAAGTGTTTTTATTCTGGTACAGAGGATAGTTCATAGCCTATAGCTGGTCTGAGGTGGGCCAGTCTTCTCTTCTTGGGCTGGAGCTCAGGGCTTGAGCCCTTACGAAGACACTGTAATTACAGCTTCAGCCTCTCCATTCCCTTGGAAGTCCTGTGATTTACCCCAGGAAAGCAGACCGCTATAACCTGTGAGGAAGGGGCCTGGGTTTGTTTTCTTGCTCTACCACCATGGCTCTGGTTCTTTTTGCTTAGACGTTATCACATGCCTTCCAGGTCTTGTTTATCTTATATTGAATTATTAAAATCGTGGCAGTCTGGTGAAGTTCCCACTGATTGGAAAACAGGGAACATAACTCCAATATTCAAAAAAGGAAACAAAGAAGACCCGGGGAACTACAGGCCGGTCAGTCTCACCTCTGTGCCTGGCAAGATCATGGAGCAGATCCTCCTGAAATCTCTACTAAGGCACATGGAAAATAAGGAGGTGATTGGAGACAGCCAACATGGCTTCACCAAGGGCAAATCGTGCCTGACAAATTTGGTGGCCTTTTACGATACTGCCACAGACTTGGTAGACAAGGGCAGAGCAACTGATGTCATCTACCTGGACTTATGCAAAGCATTTGACACTGTCCCACATGACATCCTGGTCTCAAAATTGGAAACCCATGGATTTGATGGATGGACCACTCGGTGGATAAGGAGCTGGCTGGACGGCCGCACCCAAAGGGTGGCAGTCAACGGCTCAATGTCCAGGTGGAGGCCAGTTACGAGTGGTGCTCCGCAGGGGTCGGTATTGGGACCAGTACTATTTAACATCTTTGTTGGAGAGATGGACAGTGGGATAGAGTGCACCCTCAGCAAGTTTGCTGATGACACCAAGCTTGGTGGCGCAGTTGACACGCTGGAGGGAAGGGATGCCACCCAGAGGGACCCGGACAGGTTTGAGAGGTGGGCTTGTGCACACCTCATGAATTCGACCAGGCCAAGTGCAAGGTCCTGCACCTGGGACATGGCAAG